CAAGATATTGGGAGTATAAATAAGTTTCCGCCGTTTGCAAAAGACGGCGCCACTAATAAACTATAATTAAAATTGTTTGATGTAAAACGACATATCATAAGATTGAACATCCGGCAACCATAATCTTGAAATATTAGCGATTTTGTATCAGCATCATATATTTTTTTTGTCGAAAAAACGAAAATGTCGAGTTTGAGCCGAATAAGCGTCATTTGCGGGAACTTTTGATTTAGTTCTTTAATTTGAAGAAATCTGCAGCTGAAGCTCATAGATTGCTTGTAGAAGCATATGGTGATGCTGCCTTAAGTGAGAGAAGTTGTCATGAGTGGTTTCAAAAGTTTAAGAATGGTGAATTTGACGTCGAAGAACGTACCGGAAGGCCGAAAGTGTACAAAGATGCGGAATTGGAAGCATTATTGGACGAAGATTCGTGCCAAACGCAAAAAGAACTTGCACTTACATTAGGAGTACTCAACAAACAATTTCATATCATTTGAAATCATTGGGAATGATTCAAAAGCAAAGGAATTCCATATGAATTGAAGCCGAGAAACGTTGAACGCCGATTTTTCACATGTGAAATGCTGCTTGCCAGGCATAAACGAAAGGGTTTTTTGCATCGTATAATCACATCATATATCCACTACGATAACCCAAAGAAGAGGAAATCATGGGGATCACTTGGCCATGCTTCAACATCGACAGCCAAGCCGAATATTCATGGAAAAAAAACTCATGTTGTGTATTTGGTGGGATCAGCTTGGTATCGTGTATTATGAGTTGCTCAAACCGAACGAGACCATTACTGAGGCTCTCTACTGAACACAATTGATGGGATTGAGCCGAGCACTCAAGGAAAAACGCGCCCACTACTACTCCAGGCATGACAAAATTATTCTCCTACATGATAATGCTCGACTACATGTTGCGACGCCGGTCAAAACCTACTTAGAAATACTCAAATGGGAAGTTCTACTCCACCCGCCGTATTCTCCAGACATTCTCCTTCCGACTATCACTTGTTCCGATCGATGACGTATGGCCTGTCTGAGCAGTACTTCACATATGAAGATACCAAAAATTATATCGATGAGTGGATAGTCTCAAAAGATAAAGCGTTCTTCCGACGCGATATCCACATGCTAGAAAGATGGGAAAAAGTAGTGACTAGCGATGGCCATTACTTTAATAAAACATTATGTATCGTTCTTTCACAATTAATTTTTGATAAAAAACGGCGGAAACTTATTTGTACTCCCAATATATTATAGATGCTAATAATATCATTTTTATTCAAAATAGAATAAAAATGATATTATTTCGTAGTATAATAAAAAAATTAAAAATGCGGGATTATACGAAAATGTTGAAAATATGTATAATACGAATTTTATTAAACCATTATTACTGTAATATTGATAAATGGAATGAAATATTAACAATAAATTGTATTTACAAATCAATTGTATTTACTTTTAATTATTAACTTGCAATTATAAAATTTATTAAAATTTATATGATAAAATTTAACAAATTTACTATTACCTTGTGATACGCTAGTTATCCAATACAAAGAAGAGTAATCTTTATAATGGAAAGCGAACTTAATGTAACTGATTCCACGTAAAATTATCATAAGATCTGCAAAGAAAAGTTAAACTATCCGTTAAATTTCAACAGTCTTTACAAGAGGGTGTGAATTCTGAATCTTCTAGACCGCTTATTATAATAGTTATTATTTGGCAATGTTAATTACCACTTTTATAACATCTTTAATATAATATTAAAATTCGCGTGTAAGAAAATATATTTTATTACATTATTAAAAATCATCTTTTATAAAAAATAACTGGATAGAATAATTTTCTTGTAAAATAGGGGTTATACTTACATTTAATAATAATAAAATATATACGTTGTTATAATTTTTCATATGTATACAAAAGTGTCTTGGGTACCGACCGCTCGAGATGATCCAAATCCGAGAATATGGTATTCTAAAGAATTATTTTTTGACAATTTATTATATGTTTAAAATTTAACAATTTCCTATTTTTCAGTTTCTTTCAGAAATTTTAATCATTAATTCCGCTATGTATACTTACTTCGAATCTTTGTATTTACATATTTTTAATTAAATTCATGTATTTGCGATAACATTGTTAAAAGAAATATAAAGTATTTTGACAAAATTATCTAAGTCGACAAAAATCAAAATTTAAATACGATCTTATATATATCTGTATTTTGTTATAGAAAAAAGTATATATATATATATTTGTAAAAGTAATTATAAAAGATAAGCAAATTATTTGTACAAAATTTGAATTTATTTATTTAACAATTTCGATTTGAACAAATAATCATTATATCTACATTTGAGGAGCAGACTTTCAAATTGTGTTTTGTCCTTTGTAATTGTAATCCAAGAAATGAGAAAGAAAAAAACTTCACACATAAAAAAATACGCTCTTTATAGAAAATAACAGTATATCAATCAGTAAGATGTGAAATAGTGAATAAAATTGCTAAACAATTGCTAAAAATAGACAAATGCATTTTATTCGTCTCTAAGTTAAAATACATAATTCATACTTCGAAATGTTATTATGTTTTTTCAGCATATAAATTAACGATGAAAAAATGCTTTTTGAATGTTTCAGAGTAGCTTATGAGTCTTTCGACACTTAACACTATGCCAAATGTAACTAAAAAAATGAAATTTTGATAAAATTGCATTTTAGAGTTTTGCTCTTCATTTATCATATAACATTAAAGTTTCTTCGTTATTAAAACAGTTCTATTACTAGCTTGCATTATTACTATAATAAAAGAACATTTATTAAAGATAAGAAAGCGATGAAATTAATGTTAAAACATGCTAATATGAGTTAACACTGAAAGTTGGTGGTATATATATTTTAACCATGGCTAATCTATATCACTCACAAAAGTTTCGATCCTTGGTTCGGATTCTCTTCACTATGTAAATTCCTTCACAAGTAATCATTTACAATACATTGTACAACGTACTAGGTGACGATCTGTATTTATTATTTAGTGTTTTAAATCTTGACTAAGTGATGTTATAATGATAGATTTAAGTTTCTTTAGTGTATAGATTGCTTCAGCTTTGCCAATTTGCAAATGACTTGCTCTCAATGGAAGATTTTTTGCTGCTTATTCTCTGAGAATGACTCTAAAGTGAATAAAGAACGAAGATTTAGGAGATGTAGATGATAATCAGATGTTAATAATCATCATCTTCATTTATTTTGTCGAATATTTCGTAACATGTGATTATTATCTATATCTCTTAATATTCGCTCTTACATCTGCGTTTGACTCTCATTATCTCTTTTCTGAATTTTATTGTATTAAGAATAAAAATAAAAAATAATAAAATTAAATTTAACTATCACGTTTTATGTTAACACTAATAAATTATATTATTATAAGAATAAATTATTATTATAAGAATAATTGTAGGGAAGACTGGATCTCGTTGGCACAGTTTTCACAATTTCGGCATTAGATATGTATCAATTTATTCAACATATCGAGGAAATTAACTACAATGTAGCATGTCTATATTTCATTTATTGCAAAGAAACTGTACAGTGTACAGAATCATTAATAATATGAAAATGTAAAGAAAGGTTCACTCTATCATATTGATATATTTAAATCATAATAATTCATTGTTTAAAAAATCTCTATAATTCTATCTTATTTTAATATAGAAATATTATAAATATAAAGTATTTTGTCAGAGTTAAATTGTAATTGAATGTTCACACGTGCGATATAGCGCGAGTTAACCTAACCTAACCTAACCTTTTCTTATGACCAACATACCCTATCACTGCATACATGATCATCGTATTATAACAAATTACCATTGTTACTCAAAATAACGTATACTAACAAAGTTTTCTTTTAACTAATAATATATCGCTTAGATTTGCTTTCTCAAGCCGAAGAACATTAATACGAAATTACGAAATGCTTAAAAATTTTCTTATCTGCTCTTGAATCAGAATTTTTTCTTTATCTATTGTAATACTTATTTGATTTAAATGAAACTTAGGAAGAAGTATCTATGTTGTAAAAGAAATATTTTGCAGTAACTTTTTCATTGTTTCCTTTAATTTTAATTGTTTCATAAATATACATATAAATGGAACGCAATTTGTCTTATGTCAATGAGTCCCGATCTCCTTACTTATTTTCACTTTACAAAGAGCATTATATTGTGCACATAATTTCTATGTATAAAATATTTTATCAAAAATATTTTATCAGTTTCAACTCAAGCCCAGCAAACAAAAATAGATTAAAATGGATTAAAATTTTTTTCTATCCAAATGCATATTTAAATAGCGAATACTTTTTTGGGGATTTAATTGGATGCAATTAGATTAAAAAATTGCATTTCCTATTAAATTTTGAATTGAACAGTATTCACAATGTACAGAAAAAGCTAATATTATTTTTAGATTGAAAGGCATAGAGATATGTTCCATATAATTGAATCCTATAAATGAATAAAAATGCATTTAGGAATGCATTTATTTTGAAAAGGATTCATTTTAACATTTTCATGAATCTATATTTCTGAAAATCTGATTCCATTTCAATCCATTCTCGTTTGCTGGGAGTTTGCTGGACACGTGTTGTTAAAAGCCATGTAAATAAAATGCATCCATGTAATAATTAATAGAAAGACATATTTGATCAACAAGACATTCTGCGGATAAGTTAATGAGAAAAATTTATTCTCTATGAGAGAATCTTCTCTTTGTATGAAAAATAGTAGGCACCGCTTCTATCCTGTGGATGTATTACAGACGCGAACCACTTTCGATGATACGATTTTATCGGCAGTGTTAGAAAATGTAGTTACGTAGTTCTCAAAAATGGATGTACTGGAGGTAGTGCAGGCAATTTTAAAGTTACTAGATTTATAAAGTACCGTCTTACGGTAGACATAAGGAAGCCAACCCAAAATCACGAACGTTTACTTTTTACTTTAAATTGCATTGTGCATAGATTAATGTGGATTATTGTGACTTGACGTTAAAATGGCTGCAATTTTACGTGTAAAACGCAAGAACACCGATTCTCCACTGGACGCGTTGGTAATTGCATGTAAACGCTCAAAAACTGAGGTTTCCTTTTCAGACACCTCACCTGTAGAAACCGTCGTTCAGTTTGCTGGCACCCTCACAGATCCGGTGAGAATCTGATGATTTATATATTTTTATTAATGCGATTAATTGCGATTTGATTGCAAATTTTCTTCTGAAGATGTACGTTATTGGTAAAGAATAGTTTTTTTAAGTTAAAGATTACTTTTTAGGTTAGGTTGATTTATTTGCAATTAATTGTGAAACTGTTCTAGAATCTTAAAAAGAATTGTAGAATTTACTTAAGGGTCGACAAAAACGAGTCAACTAATTCACACCTTTGCAATCTAAATACATATATTGTCGCATAAAAGAAACACTGCTGTGAAACTTCTTTTATTTATTTATATTTTACGAACCTATAGTGTCTAAAAAGTAGAATTTTGTAATTTTGCTCTTAAAAATGTTATAATAAATAAAGTGGTACGATATCTTCATATTATTATTTTATTTCGTGGAAATAATATTGCATTTTGAAATTTTTTTCAGTTTCTTGTTTATGAAGTTACAGAATCGATTTTGCAGTTTAATTTTTAATAAAACATAATAAAATAATTTGCACCTCAATTATAGATTAAAATATTAGAGTACAATTTTTATTTCACTTTTTTAAAAAAATATGTTGTTGAATATGCTTTTAGACTTTCCTGATTACGAATATTGTAATTACAGTAATTTTCTTAATATATTGTAATTACAGTAACTTTCATAATTTCAGTATAAAGAAATTTATCTTCGACAGAGATCATTAAATAGTTTCTTTTGTCACCCAGTTTCTGTAATAATTGTTATAATTATTTTAAGCATAATAAAAATATATAATTATAATAT